GGATGCCGGGGTTGGGCGAGAAATCGTAGGGTGGGGGGTTCCAAGAACACAGGCTCCATGGGGTGGGGATGCCGTGGGACGCCGGGGCGTGGAGGGAGGCGCCATGGGGTGGGGATGCCGGGGCGTGGTGGGGGCGTGGCGGGGGCGTGGTGGGGTGCGTGGTTGGGGGTATCGGTCGGTTTTGGGCGAGAAGTGGTGGGGTGGGAGAAGGGGGGGCCCAAGAACAGAGGTTCCAAGGGAGGGAGCCAGGAGGGGGGTATCGGTCGGTGGCTGCTTGAAAGGAGAAGCTCACGATGAATGGCTCTAGCACGCACTCTCCCTCACACGCCTCTGGGGTCGGCGGATTGGCATGTTTCGGCCTCGGGGGGCCGCTTTCGGGCCCCGGGATTGTCAAGAAAATGGATCTGAAACACTTCACCAGATGGGCCCGCCGGAGGGTCCGGGGACCGATTTTGAAAGGATTTGGCTTCATCCCCCGTGCGAACCGCTGCCAACCACTGCGAACTCAGTGGTCGTGTTCCAGCGCGCATGCACTGAGCGGTCAGATTTCCCAATTTTTCGTGGCCTCCGTTCTTGCGCGACTTTCTGCCGATGCGCCATGTAGGAGCGGCTTCTTCCAGTCTGGTCCAGTCCCCCTCCAGATCGATTCTCTGGTGTCCCAACGAGTTCAACCCCCCCAGGCCGCCTCCAAGGTGGAAAAGGAGTCCTCGCCTGGACCCAGGTCTGGCCGCGTCTGGGCCTCTTCGTGCTGCTGCCGCCGCTCCCTCCCTCCCTCCCTCCTCCCCCCCCCACCCCGCCCGTGCTCAGGAGCGTGAGCAAGCGCATCAAGAAGCTGGCCAAGTCGTCGAATCAACTGGAGGGGCTGCCCAGCCTGGACAGCGTAGGAGGTCGGCGGAGCGCAGAGGGCTGGGACGGGGAAGGGGCCCTGAGCGGGGCGGGCTCGCAGGACTCCCCCCCCTCTCTTGGAGGCTGTGGGGGGCCTTCCTGGAAGGAAGCCGGTCCCTCTCCCCGAAGCCCCGCTGCCATCTCGGGAGGCCGCCCTCCCCCCCCCCCCGCGCACCTGGAGCCAGGGCGTCGCCGTCTTCTCGTGGCGCGGGCCCCCAGGAGCTCTCCGCCCCATCGCCTGGGAATGACGGCTTTCATCCCGGGGTCGTTCCCTTTTGGGAGCGTCCAGGGGGGGGGGCAGGACGGGGGATCTATGGACATCGCGGCCGGGGCAGTGGAATCTCCCAACGTTTCATGGCCCCCTTCTCTCTAGGCCTCCCAGACGGGGTCCGAGTAGATGGGGTCGGAGGATCGCGCCGCATCGCCGATGCATCGGCGATGCGGCTCGATGCAGAGCTAGTTGTTCTCCACGCGAACGTCGCCGATACATCGCCGGCGTCGCGCCGATGCATCGCCTATGCATCGGCGATACATCTGCGATGCGGTGCACTCCTCCGACCCCATCTCCTAGGATTCAATCTATCGTCGGGAACAAGAGAGCCCCTAACCACGATAGCACGAGGAAGACGTGTCCTCACTTGGGGCCCCGTCTTCGAATTAGGGATGCTACATCTGGGCGGGTTGGTCTGATGCATCTGCAGAGAAGACCCCCATCCCTGATGTCCCTGGCCCTCCCAACTTGGGTCCCCTCCCAAAGGGTTAGGGGGGTACTTCTGCTGCTGATCAGTCCGGGAGGCCGCTGTTCTCCTTCTCTCAGCACGCCCCCCGGCCCGATCTCGTCCGCGCGCGTGCCTCGGGCTCGGAGGCGCCGCCCCTGCCCTCCTCGGCCCCCTCCTTCGGCGGGCCCAGCTCTTCACGGCCCTGGGGGCCCAGACGGCCCTCGGGAGGCGGACAGCGTTCGAGGGGGAGGGAGGGAGAGAGGGGGAGAGAGGGGCAGGGAGGGAGAGAGGGGGACCAGGGGGGGGGGGGCACCAAGTCCTCCTGAGGATCGAGGTGCCAGGATCGAAGCTCGAGGAGGTTTTTGGACGCTTGGGGCAGTTGTGGGGGGTGTCTGGGGCGATCTGGGGGCGCCCATTTCCTTGAGGACATGGCGTCTCCTCGGGATGTGACACCCCGTTGCCATGAACGTGGACAAAGAACTGGCCGCCCGTCCCGTGGCGAAGGAGAGGCCAGGTCGGGCGGGGCGAGGTTCGGAACAGAGAGATCCCGAGCGTCCCGGAACGCTGTCGGAACGTTCTGGAGCGCTCTGGAACAGCCGCGGCGCCGGATGCACCCTCCAGAACCGCTGGATCTCAGAGATCCCCGATGTGTCCTGGTCCGATTTTGTCCCCCGATGCATCTGGCGTCTCCATTTTTTCGAGGCACGGGCCCCCGACCTCTCGACCATTTCCCCAGGACCGCTCTTTCATCCCGAGTCGTTTTTTGACGGTCCCGAGGCCCGGGAGGGGCCCAGAGAGGCCGAGGCGCGACCACTAAAACACGATCGTCCAGATTTTTTCGAACCGCCGGATGTCTGGGCTCCTGGCTGCGTCTTACCGGGGCTGCTCCCACGCCCCTCCCTCCGGCGCGCCGCCAGAGAAGGCCTGCTGGCAGAGGCCGTGCGCCGGGGCTCCGAGGACGCCGCGGGCGAAGAACGCCGCAAGGCGAGCTGCTCCGCGACGGGGGGGCGCCTGTCCCAGGGCGGCTGGCGAGTCCGTGCCCTGCACCCGGGGGGTGGGGGTGGGCCCTCGCCCCGAAGGCCGGCCACAGCTGCCCGAGCACGAGCCTGCGGGGGCCCGCGCGGACTTCTGGGACCGGCCTCCGGCGCCGCCCTGGCCCGGGCGCGCTCCGCGCGCCAGGGAAGGGGGAGGGCCCTGCGCCGATCCAAGACATCCGCGCGGACCTCCAGCAGCGTCTGTTTGTGCACAGTAGTCTTTGCTCATGCATCGAAGACGCCCGCCCCCTGCCTGTGAGGATCCGCTTATGTGGCCAAGCGTTGAAGAAAATGTTGGCCAGGCTATTGGACCGTGCGTCCCCCCAGCCGTTGTGGAAACCCTTCGGAGAACGCGTGGGGGAGGAAGAGGACGACGAGGAGAGGGAGGGAAAAAGAGGATGAGGAGAAGCATGAGGAGACCTCTTGGGTCATTATTGGGTCTTGGGGCCTCCTGAGAGCTTTCTGGAGGCCTCTTGGAGGTCTTGGGGGCGTCTTGGGGGCTTTTCCAGGCGTCTTGGGGGCCTTTTTTGGCTGTCTTCTGGCGTTCCTGGCCCGTCTGGCCGTCGGAAGCCGTCTTGGGAGCATCTTTGGGCCGTCTTGTGGCCCTCTTAGGGCACTTCAGAGCCGTCTCAGAGGCCATCTTGAGCGTCTAGGAGGCCTCTTGTGCCAGGCCCTCTTGGGGCCGTCTTGGGGGCCTCTTGGGCCGTCGTAGGGCCATCTTAGAGGCCTGTTGGGCGTGCTCGGAGCGATCTTGGGGGTCTCTTGGGCCCTCTTGGGCTATCGGAAGGCCGAAAAGAAGCAAATGCCCAAATCCTTCAAAACCCATGGACAATTTTCTGGTTTGGACTCTTCGGGTCATCCTGAGGACCTCTTGGAGGCCTCTTGGGCCGTCTTGGAGGCCTCTTGGGCCGTCTTGGGCCATCTTGAGGCCGTCTTGGGCCGTCTTGGGTGCATCGTAGGCCGTCCTCAAAAAATGACCTGTTGGAGCCTTTCTGGAGGACCTATTGGAGGCCTCTCGGGCCGTCTTCGGGCTCTCTTGAGCGCTTCTTGGGCCATCTTAGGCTCTCTTCGACCATCTTGGCGGTCTTGGAGGCGTCTTGGAACCGTCTTAGAGACCATTTTGGGGCCATCTTGGCCGTTTTGGAGGCATATTGGAGGCCATCTTGGGCCATCTCTGCCGTTTGGAGCCGATGGGACCAACGAAGACCGACATTGGTGCAGCTCTCCGGGTGGTCGGCGGCATCGGCCGAAGCCCCAGGGGGAGTTTCAAGAGAACCAAACACCACCTGAAGTTCAGCACGCCAGGCACCCTTCTGGCAACCCAACAGGGGGCAGCGGATCGAAGACGCCTACGGTGAATCACCGCCGCCCCCTGCCTTTTTGGAAGCGCCTATGTGGCCGAACGTTGAGGCCAGACCTGCCAAGCTATCGGATCACGTGTTTCCCGAATCGGTTTGGAAAGCCTTCGGGGAACACGTGGGCATCTTGAAGGTCATCTTGGCAGTGTGGAGGCCATTTTGACCCTTTCGGGCCTTCTTGGAGGACGTCTTGGAGGGCCGGAAGGCCGAACCAAACAAATGCCACACTCCTTCAAAAACTCGTGGGATATCAATGATTTTGGTCTTTTCGGGCCTTCCTGGAGGCCCTCTTGGAGGCCTCTTGGGCTGTCTTGGGCCATCTTAGGGCCATCTTCGGCCGTCTTGGTGGGCTTCTGGCCCGTCTGACGCCGTCGAAAGCAGTTTGGGGGTCTCTCTGGGCCGACTTGGGGCCCTCTTGGAATGCTCCAGGGCCGTCTTGGAGGCCATCTTGGGCGTCTTAAAGGCCTCCTGGGCCGTCTTGGGGGCCTCTTGGGGCCGCCTCGGGGGCCTCTTGGGCGATCTTTGGGCAATCTTCGGGGGCTCTTGGGCCGTCTCGGGCCGTCGGAAGGCCGAAAAGAAGCAAATGTCAAAATCTTTCAAAAACCTGAGGAAAATAAGTGTTTGGGTTTTTTTTCTGGCCTTCCTGGAGGCCTCTTGGAGAGGCCTCTTGGGCCGTCTTGGGCCAGCTTCGAGCCAACTTCGGCCATGTTGGTGGGTTCCTGGCACGTCTGACGCCGTCGGGAGCCGTCTTGGGGGCCTCTCTGGGCCGACTTGGGGTCCTCTTGGGGCGCTTCGGGGCCGTCTTAGAGGTCATCTTGGGCGGCTTGGAGGCCTCTTGGCCGTCTTGGGACCCTCTTGGGGCCGTCTTGAGGGCCTCTTGGGCCGTCATGGGGCCATCTTGGAGGCCTCTTGGGCGATCTTGGGGCGACCTTCGGCGCCTTTTGGGCCGTCTTGGGCCGTCGGAAAGCCGAAAAGGTGCAAATGCCAAACTCCGTCAAGAACCTATAGAAAATCAAGGGTTTTCGCCTCGTCGGGCCTTCTTGGAGGACCTCTTGGAGGGCTCTTGGGCCGTCTTGGAGGCCTCTTCGGGGTCTCTTGGGCCGTCTTGGGCCAGCTTGAGGCCATTTTGGGCCGTCTTGGGTGCTTCTTGGAGCCGGGTTGGAGGCATCTTGGGGCCATCTTAGCCGTCTTGGAGGCCATGTTTTTTGTTTTGGAAGCATCTTGGAGGCCATCTTGGAGCCGTCTGGGGCAGGAAAACCTACGGCAACCACCTCCGGAAGAGCCTCCCGGGACTCCGGCGGGACGCGCCGAAGGCCCAAAGGGAGTTCTTTTAGAGAAAGAATCAAAACCTAAACCGAGAGGGTCTAGCACGCCAGGCACCCCTGCGATAAGTCGACAGGGGGCGGCGGATCGAAGACGCCTACGGCGAATCACCGCCGCCCCCTGCCTTTTTGGAAGCGCCTATGTGGCCGAACGTTGAGGCCAGACCTGCCAAGCTATCGGACCACGTGTTTCCCGAATCGGTTTGGAAAGCCTTCGGGGAACACGTGGGCATCTTGAAGGTCATCTTGGCTGTGTGGAGGCCATTTTGACCCTTTCGGGCCTTCTTGGAGGACGTCTTGGAGGGCCGGAAGGCCGAAACAAACAAATGCCACACTCCTTCAAAAACTCGTGGGATATCAATGATTTTGGTCTTTTCGGGCCTTCCTGGAGGCCCTCTTGGAGGCCTCTTGGGCTGTCTTGGGCCATCTTAGGGCCATCTTCGGCCGTCTTGGTGGGCTCCTGGCCCGTCTGACGCCGTCGGAAGCCGTTTGGGGGGCCTTTATGGGCCGACTTGGGGCCCTCTTGGAATGCTCCAGGGCCGTCTTGGAGGCCATCTTGGGCGTCTTAAAGGCCTCCTGTGCTGTCTTGGGGGTCCTTGGGGCCCTCTTGGGCCGTTCTGGGGCCATCTTGGAGGCCTCTTGGGCGATCTTTCGGCGATCTTTCGGGGCTCTTGGGCCGCCTCGGGCCGTCGGAAGGCCGAAAAGAAGCACATGTCAAAATCCTTCAAAAACCTACGGAAAATCAATGTTTTTGGCCTCTTCTGGCCTTCCTGGAGGCCCTCATGGGAGCCTCTTGGACCATCTTGGGCCAGCTTCGAGCCAACTTCGGCCATCTTGGTGGGTTTCTGGCACGTCTGACGCCGTCGGGAGCCGTCTTGGGGGCCTTTCTGGGCCGACTTGGGGCCCTCTTGGGGCGCTTTGGGGCCGTCTTGGAGGCCATCTTGGGCGTCTGGGAGGCCATATTGGGCGTGTTGGAGGCCTCTTGGATCGTCTTGGGGCCATCTTGGGGCAGTCTTGGGGGCCACTTGGGCCGTCCTGGGGCCCTCTTGGGCGATCTTGGGGCGATCTTGGGAGCCTCTGAGGCCGTCTTGGGCCGTTGGAAAGCCGAAGAGGATAAAATGCCAGAATCCTTCAAATACGTAAGTAAAATCGAGGATTTGGGCCTCGTCGGGCCTTCCTGGAGGACGTCTTGGAGGGCTCTTGGGCCGTCTTGGAGGCCTCTTGCGGGCCTTTTGGGCCGTCTTAGACAATATTGAGGCCATCTTGGGCCGTCTTGGGTGCATCTTGGAGCCATCTTAGCAGACTTTGAGGCCGTCTTGGTTGTCTTGAAGGCATCTTGCAGGCCATCCAGGGCCATCTTGGCCGTCTTGGAGGCCATCTTGGGCCAACTTGGGGCAACAAAGGCATTGGCAGACGGATTTTCGGGAATCCCCCGGGACCCCCGCGGGACGCGCCGAAGGCCCAGGGGGAGTTCTTTTAGAGAAAGAATCAAAACCTAAACCGAGAGGGTCTAGCACGCCAGGCACCCCTGCGATAAGTCGACAGGGGGCGGCGGATCGAAGACGCCTACGGCGAATCACCGCCGCCCCCTGCCTTTGTGTTTGCGCCTATGTGGCCGAACGTTGAGGCCAGACCTGCCAAGCTATCGGACCATGTGTTCCCCAAATCGGTTTGGAAAGCCTTCGGGGAACACGTGGGCATCTTGAAGGTCATCTTGGCCGCCTGGAGGCCATTTTGACTCTTTCGGGCCTTCTTGGAGGACGTCTTGGAGGGCTCTTGGGCCGTCTCGGAGGCCATCTAGAGCGTCTTGGAGGCCTCTTGGGCCGTCTTGGGGCCGTGTCTTAGGCGCCTCTTGGGCCGTTCTGGGGCCATCTTGGAGGCCTCTTGGGCGACCTTTCGGCGATCTTTGGGAGCTCTTGGGCCGTATCGGGCCGTCGGAAGGCCGAAGCGAAGCAAATGTCAAAGTTTTTCAAAAACCTTAAGAACATCACTCTTTTTAGTCTTCTCTGGCCTTCCTGGAGACTCTCTTGGATACCTCTTGGGCCGTCTTGGGCCAGCTGCGAACCACCTTCGGCCATCTTGGTGGGCTCCTGGCCCGTCTGACGCCGTCGGGAGCCGTTTCGGGGGCCTTTCTGGGCCGACTAGGGGCCCTCTTGGGGTGCTCCAGGGCCGTCTTGGAGGCCATCTTGGGCGTCTTCGAGGCCTCTTGGCGCCCTCTTGGGGCCGTCTTCGGGGCCTCTTGGGCCGTCATGGGGCCATCTTGAAGGCCTCTTGGGCGATCTTGGGGCAACCTTGGCGGCCTCTGGGGCCGTCACGGGCCGTCGGAAAGCAGAAAAGGCGCAAATTCCAAAATCCTTCAAAGACCGAAGTAAAATCAAGGATGTTGGCCTCGTCGGGCCTTCCTGGAGGAACTCTTGGAGGCCTCTTGCGGGCCTTTTGGGCCGTCTTAGACCATATTGGGGCCATCTTGGGTTGCCTTGGATGCATCTTGGGGCCATCTTAGCTGTCTTGGAGGCCATCTTGGCTGTATTGGAGGCATCTTGCAGGCCATCTTGGGCCATCTTCGCGATTTTTGAGGATGTCCCGAGCGAAACAGCCGTTTTTGGCGATGCCAACCGGGTCTTCCGGGTGGCCGGCAGGACGCGCCGGAGCCCCAGGGGGAGTTCTTTTGGAAAAAACACGAAACCAAAACCGAGAGGGTCCAGCACGCCAGGCACCCCTGTGATGAATCGACATGGGGGCGGCGGATCGAAGACGCCTATTGAGGGCACTTGGGCCGTCTCCAGCCGTCGGAAGGCCATGCCACAATCCTTCAAAAGTTCAAGGGGAATCTCTGATTTTGGCCTTTTCGGGCCTTCCTGGGGGGCCCTCTTGGAGGCCTCTTGGGCCATCTTAAGGCCATCTTCGGCCGTCTTGGTGGGCTCCTGGCCCGTCTGACGCCGTCGGAAGCCGTTTGGGGGGTCTCTATGGGCCGACTTGGGGCCCTCTTGGAATGCTCCAGGGCCGTCTTGGAGGCCATCTCGGGCGTCTTAAAGGTCTCCTGGGCCGTCTTGGGGGCCTCTTGGGCCGTTCTGGGGCCATTTTGGAGGCCTCTTGGGCGATCTTTGGGCAATCTTCGGGGGCTCTTGGGCCGTCTCGGGCCGTCGGAAGGCCGAAAAGAAGCACATGTCATAATCCCCTCCGAAAAAAGGAAATACGCCTTTTCTGGCCTTCCTGGAGGCCTCTTGGAGGCCTCTTGGGCCGTCTTGGGCCAGCTTCGAGCCAACTTCGGCCATCTTGGTGGGTTCCTGGCACGTCTGACGCCGTCGGGAGCCGTTTTGGGGGCCTCTCTGGGCCGACTTGGGGCCCTCTTGGGGCGCTTCGGGGCTGCATTAGAGGCCATATTGGGCGTTTTGGAGGCCTCTTGGCTCGTCTTGGGGCCCTCTTGGGGCCGTTTTGGGGGCCTCTCTGGCCGTCATAGGGCCATCTTGGAGGCATCTTGGGCGATTTTGGGGCGATCTTGGCCGAAAAGGCGCAAATACCAAAATCCTTCAAAAACCTAAAGAAAATAAATGATTTTCGCTTCTTCGGGCCTTCCTGGAGGACCAGGCCTCTTGGGCTGTCTTGGAGGCCTCTTGGGAGCCTCTTGGGCCGTTTCGGGCCATCTTGAGGTCATCTTAGGCCGTCTTGGGTGCATTTTGGGCCGTCTTGGAGGCATCTTGGGGCCATCTTAGCCGTCTTGGAGGCCATCTTGGCCGTCTTGGAGGCCATCTTGTTGGGCCATCTTGGGGCCATCTGGGACGGATAAACCCTTTGCAACCACCTCTGGAAGATCTTTCGGCATCCTCCCGGGACCCCGGCGGGACGCGCTGGAGCCCAAGTTCTTTTGGAAAAGAACCAGAACCAAAACCGTAAGAAGTTCAGCACGCCAGGCACCCCTGCGATGAATCGACAGGGGGCGGCGGATTAGTGGCTTTCGGCCAATCCCGCCACCGTGCCTGGGCTGTGGTTCAGAGGCCTCTTGGATGCATATGAGGGCCTCTTGGGATGCATCTGGGGGGACTCTTGGACGGGTCTTGGGGGCTTCTGGGGGGCCTCCTGGGGGGCTTCTGGGCCGTCCTGCGGGCCTCTTGGGGGCCTCTTGGGCCGTCTTGGGGGACCTCGGGAGCCTCTGGGGAAGGTGGGGCTCTTGGGGCCGTCTTGGGGCGGAAGGCTGGAAGTTTCTGTTCGTGTTCCCCTTCTTGGTCCTCTTGGGGCGCTCTTGGGTGCCTCTTGGGCCGTCTTGGGAGCCTCTTGGGCCCCCTTGAGGCCCTCTTCGCGCGTGTCTGGGCGGCGCTATTGGGAGCTTCTTGACTTCTTGGGCCGCCTTTGTGCGTTTAGAGCTGAATAAGGGGATAATGCCAACAACTTGTTCAAACACCGACGTGACATCATGTTTGTTGGCCTCTTGACGGTGCTCCTGGGACCCTTCTCATTCTTCGAGAAGGCCAAGGTGCACGCAAGACGGCTTAAGATGGCGTAGAAACTACCCAGCCGCCCTGGGACACAGCAGGCACTTCACATGAGAAACCCGCCTGTCGGCAGGTGCCCCACGGAAGGTTCGTGTCCCCCGATGGTCAAGCTTGACGACGAACGTGCCCATCAATTTGTTGTTGCAATATTTCTTATTCCAAGTGTCTACTGTATGCTCAGACCCCCGACGTCATGATTTTTCATAGCGTCGACCCCCACCAAAGGTCTCGACCCATTCCCCGGGACCGGTTTTTCATTCTGAGTTGTTTTTTGATGGTCTCGAGGCCAAAAAAAAGCCCCCCAGAGTCAGAAAATAGCAAAACACCTTCCGTCGTGTTTTTTCATGGCTCGAGGATGTCGGGGCCGTACATGCCCCCAAAGGCGAAGAGGTTTGGTGTTTGCCGTCCTTAGCCTGCAGAAGGACCCCTGCCGCGCGGACGTCTTGGCCACCATCGGCCCCGCGCGCGTGGACCGCATCGGCTTCGGTTCCCGCGGGGCGGCCTCCCTTCGGGGGCAACGTCAGGGGGTGATAGGCTTGATAGGCTCAAGGCAAAGAAGGGCTCAAGGCAGAGGAGGAGGAGGAGGAGGAGGAGGATAATTGTGTGACATCGACACTGCCAAGACGTACACTCTGGGAGGACGGCGCCTCCTCCCAAAGGAAGATGTACCCATCCCACTGAGGGTGGGCATCGCGAGGGTACATGTGACCCAAAAAGGGGGGAGGTGGGATCAAGGCTCCTTCACACATCAGAAGCACAAGGCGTTGCAAGCACAGCTCACGCATGAATCCTCAAGGCTGGACAAGCTGCCAGCCACACGCAAGTCGAGAAAGGAGCGCCCGAATCAGGAGATTCCACGCTCCTGACAGGGTACCCGCACTCGGTCCTCCACGACGAAGGGATGATTGCGAGAGCCCCTGAGACGATACAGGCGTACAACATTCCAGCGGTAGGCTAACCGACCACGTTGATCGGCATGCTGCAACCGCTGGAAGAGCAAAAGAAGAAACTCAGTCGGAACTGCAACTGTTGACATCGTTGCCTCGACGCACGGCGCTGCCCCGTGCTGCTTTCAAAAGGCGACGGGAGGTTCTGACCACCCTTAGCCCTTTTCGTTCAGCTTCGTACGGATCGCCGCTAGCAGGAGCCGAATTCGGTTGAATAGATTCTGAAACACAGTCGGGCCTCGAAGCATCAGCGGCCCAATGCCCGACAAGAGTGACACCCGTCTTCTTTAGGTGCTTGCCTGAAAGAATTCGCTACCACGTGTACTGTCCGCCTTGTGCAACTGGTTTGGCACTGGGACCAGTCACCTGGCCAAAGGGGGCGCATCCTGATCTGAGTCTCCTGACTTGGCCTCCTGTGGTGTAGTACTTGCATGTCGTGCAAATATTCAAAAACTGCGGTCGCTTGCGTCTAAGAGTAGCATATTATGACCCAAAGCTTCCAGCTTTGGTTGATCGAGCCCTCGAATACCTATACCTGGCCCTCCCTGGCATCTGCCAGGCTCAGGCATGGAGACAGCACGTGACCCTCGGAAACGTCTCTCACACTCCCGGAAACCACCAACCCACGACGACGCGTGAGAGATAAGAGTAGATGCTTCCGCGCTCGGCTGTGGCACGAGAGACGAGTTGGCGAGGTCCAAGTTTGATTACAGGGCCAGACGAGATGCTGCCAGCATGCAGACTAATTTGGACATGCGAAGACAGTGATCAAGGTATTGCTGCTGTTCAGGGGTAGGTGGAGGGTGGCAACCTGCCCCTACTATGGCCATAGCATCAGCTTGGTCGTTTCCTAGCTTGTGATACTTCTGAGATGCACTTAAATCTGGGTCATCCGCTTGGCGACTTTTAACCTTGGTCAAAGACTCCTTGCCACCCTCGAGAAACATGACACATCCATTGTATGGCCGCTTATAAGTGAGTCTTCCTTGTTTGGGGAGGTCGAATTGCCTGACAATGTTGAGGCAATCGGACAAGTTCGCACTCCCTGGGAGCGCCAACTGGCCCGCCACAGACAATCCACAACACTCGGCAGCCTGGGGGGTCTGATGGAGCGGGGGCCAGAGGGGAGCATTCCCGTGGCAGAGAACCTGCTGGTCTTCTCCTAAAACAACATAAGCAAATCCGCCTCTGGACAAATCTGGGACCACACTCCTGAATCAAGACCCATCTATAAACAAATGTCCTTTACAAGTCCTATCTACCTGATGGGACCCATCAGACCACTTTACTTGCAACCCTTGTTGATCCTCAGACGCTGGTCTCGGAAATATGTCACCTGGATGCTTGAATATTCTGCCAGATAGCGCCCCGCTCGTCATTATGGAGTCGCCGAAATCGTAGGTGGAGGAGGGAAGGAGGGAGGGAGGGAGGGAGGGAGGGAGATGGATGGATGGAGGGAGGGAGGGAGGGAGGGACGAGGAGGAGTAGGAGGAAGAGGAGGAGGAGGAGGAGGAGGAAAAGGAGAAGTAAGAGGAGGAGGAGTGGTGGGACAGGCACTTGGAATTAATCAACAAGTTGGTATCACCCGTTTGGTTCATCGTGGTTCGGTTTAGCCCCAATCTGATTCATAATTCCCCGTGTGGGTTGCCTGTTTGGGCTCATAGCTTGCAGACTCATAGTTTCGCTGTAGGCAGCGTAGGTTCCAGCGGCAGACAACGCTAAGAAGACGGATTAGGAATCGGAAGAGGGGTGTAGCAAGCTCGGAAGAGGAACAAGAACAGGATCTGGAACGGAAGGACCAGGAAGAAGAGGAGCAACATCAGGAATCGGAAGGAGGGGGGTCATTGATGCAAGCTGCGAAAGAAGAGCGGGGTTGGCGGTTCGAAGTGGAAGGGCGTCACAAGATGAGCGGGAGGTGGGGGGATGGCGTCGGGGAACGAGAGACAGGGGATACTCAAGAGCATTCAGAGCGATGAGCAGGATAGGGAGGAGACCAAGCTAGGCAGAGTGGGATTGCGAGGGAAGCTGAGGATTGTGGAAGGAGGGGGAAACACAACGAAGCAAGGCCGCAGCCGTCTGGCCCACCCTTTCCCATCCTTCCACTCCATCATATAAATATATCCACCGTCCTGCTAAACAGAATAGATGGATGTGGTGTTCGACGGATCTGATCAAGATGATGGCTCAGAACCAAGTGTGATTGGTGATCAACGCCTTGGAAATCGGAGACCCAGACAGCCGAAGATGATTGCCCCCTCACGTTTCTGTTTGATTGTGGCGTCTGGGTCGGGCTTGTGGCAGAATGTATTTCCAAGAGGTCATCTTAGTGACGCAGTTCCTGAAGGGGGGCAAGTTGCCGGGGCTGTTGAATACAAATAGCACATAGTCAGCGGCACGGAGGCCAACAGCAACCCTCATCATGAGTGCATGCCCTTCTTGACCTACCTTTCTCGCCAACATTCGGCAACGACATCAGCAATCGGAATGACAACATATGTGGCCACCAGCTTTATTCAGTTTGAAGTTCCTGTCCCTGTGATCCCTGAGGTCGCAGAGCTGATTCGAGTTTGCAAGGCGCGTGGCCTCGCGCGTGAAGATGTTCGCAGGCACGCTGCACGTTTTCACTTCCTCTCACGTATGCTGGAATGGTCGTGTGCGTGCAAAATTGATGCAGTGTGCGAGTTGTCTCCCGCCCTCGCTGGCAGAATATTGACTGGCCAGAGCATGATGTTTCATTGCGTTCTCATATTCTCCCACCGCGCCCCCAGGGCACAACTACTGCGAGACGAACCCTCAGGCAGAGAAATCAAGAGGATCAGGCGGCACCTTCTAAATACATCGAGTGAGGTTGACTTATCGTGTCTCCATCGGCAGGGTCGTGACATGGTGCGTGCCAGATTTGATGAGTGGGACCCCGAACTGGTTATCAATTGGCTTGGGGCTTCGAGGTTTTGCAAGGATATCAGGCGCATCCACCAAGCTGCGCACGCATTTAAGAACGTATACGCACACTGCGCTGGTGTCTCCATGGCCGTGTCGCCCCAGTTCCCGCCAATCAATTACGACACGTTGCGACTTTCGAGGGTTCGGCTCGACATAGTGGGCATGATGTTGGGCCGAGATATGTTTGACGACTGGCTGAGCACAGTGCCTCTTAATAAGAATAATTTCTACCTGTTCATCGATTCGAGTCCTCAGCGAAGGGGCCTGGGGCTACACGCTGCAAGTATTGACATGTGGGTCGATGGTGTGTTTCGGAGGAAACTGTTGCCGTGCGCGTCGCTCGGTAAGGAGTTCTTGGACAAAATTGGTAAAACAGTGGCGACGCTCTGGCAACTATTTCTTATGTTCGGGCCATCATTTAACGCGATGAGGTGTCTCTGCAAACGGACGAGATCCATTGCGACAGACCAGGGGACCGAACGCCTCATCGCCGACATTGTAGATATACTCCCGGACTTCTACGAACTCCTACATCCTAAATTCTTGCGCCCCGAACGCCCTGAACAGACATATCTTTTCGAGCGGTGCCTACAGAGCCCAGGATGGTGCCACCTTTGGGACTTACTGTTGCGCAGGGGCTTGTCGTCACTATCATGGTTCCCATCGCGGCTGGAAAAACTTAAAGCTGTAATGCATATGTTGAGGCTTGGTATTGCGAAAGCACATATGGTCAAGCAATTGAGGAGGCGTGCAAAACTGGCAGCTGCTTCGATTATCGAATCAATGAAACCTCCTGGCTTTGCAAACTGGCGCTGGAAAACACTTCATTCGTGCTGCGAGGAGCTGGCCTCTGGACTTGATGCCCTGGCTGCCGCGTGGAATCCAGCTCTCTTCGACGGTGCCAGGATCGGTGAGTATGTGAGGAAGGCAACAGAGGGGTTGGCGTCACCTCGGTGGAAGGCTTTATTCTGGATCGTCAAATGGTTCTGCGACTGGCTTTGCACTTTGATGTCTCGGGGGCAAGGTTGCCCGTGCCACGAGCCAGACGACGACGGTTTCGAGACGTGTCCGAGCAAAGGCAGACGACTTGCGCGAGCTTGCCCTTTTGCCCAGCAGCATTTGAGGGCGGGGCTCGACGAAGCCAACAGATGGACAGCTCAGTCGCTCGGGATTTCAGCCATTGAGCTCGCGGAAGTCCAAGGGTGCGTCAGGGCATTGCACCACTTATCTGAAAGGAAGCTGAAGCACTTGAACAGAATTCCATACCTTCTTGCCCGACTAGGCGAACCAGGGGTTCGAGACCGATGCGTGGCGCAATTCAACGATGCCCCACTGATCCGACACCATAGAGTATCATGCGAATTTTGGCTCCAGGATGCTCGCTCAGAAATCAGGTGGATGCTATTCAGCATGGCGGGAGTGGGATGGCACCTGAGCTGACTGCTGAGGTGCAGAGCCTGCTGCAGGTCCCCATGGGCGATAGTGTGGCCAAGGGGCCGCATGCAGTCGCGGCCAGAACGGCGACCCATACGAGAGCGGCAGAGTGGCCTTGGCTGGCCAGCGCGATGAGGCTGAGCCAGAACCTCGATGACGCGAACGACCTCCCCAGCGTGCTCGACGCGGACATCCGCAGATTATGGCGCTCTTACAAATCTATCATTCGTGCGCCCTTGCCTCGCCGCGCCAGGCGTCGCAACTACAAACCAGTGCGTATGCCACAGTCACGGTTCGAGAGGTGCGTATACAGCATGTCGCGCATCGCCAAGCGCGCAGACAACGACGACGGTGCTTGGCACGCAGGATGGGGCAAGTATGATGGCGGAGATGACGGGGATGACGGTGAGCCTCCAGGACCCCCTCACAAGCGTGGCAAAGCGCCTGGCGCTGGCAAACCATGCAAACCTGACGACGACGGTGCTGGCCATGGCGGTGGAGGTGGAGGGGATGGCAGCGATGGCAACGTTGGAGGCGCGATCGAGCAGTCTGCCCTGAGCGGGAAACTTGTGCGACAGTGGCTTGCCTCCTGCTTGGAGCTCTACAGCTACCTGTCGATCCCTACTTTCTCGGCAGTTGATGGTAGAGACGTCGCGATGATCGCGCAGGTCCTGAGCTTCGAGACCCGCGACATTGTGGTGAAGACGTACGACGAGGACTCGGGCAGGATGCAAAGTAGCAGAGGAGGAATGACGACGCGACGAGGATGATGAGGATGAGGGGGGACAACTTACGTAGTGGTTCCCCCCAGGGTGAGAGAGAGAGAGAGAGAGAGAGAGAAAATGCAAGGTGGAGGGGGAGGAGGATGGGGAAGATCGAGAAAGGTGAAAGCGAACGTGAGGGAAGGGGGGGGATTGCATCTCCCCGCTGGGCACTTTGGAACGTTTTAGGCCGGCCTGGAACCAGCGTGAGATTGCCATCTAGCGTTAGATTGGCGTTGGGTGTAGCTTGCTCACCGCCCAGGTAAAATGCGAATCGTTCGGTGCCTATTTTGGGCGAGGTAGTATCATGCAACGAGGGCCTCCCATGCGCGGGTGCCAGGTGCTTGCGCATTTGTTTCGAACATCCCCCCAAATGACCAGGTCGGCATCTACGACATCACTGTGCAGCCCCTCGAGGTGTCGGCACCTCTCGGCGAGGATCTTGTCGGCGAACCTCTCGGGGACGATATTCACTGCTATGTTTTCGTGGACCCATGCACTGGATATCGCTGCCCTTCGTGGCGGCCCAATGGATATCGCCAGAGATCAATGGAACAAATGGGAAGTAGCAGATAGTATCATGGACGGGTGTGTGAGGCTTCGGAATCCGAAACAATTGTGTCCCCTGAAACCGCTCAGTGACCCCAGCACACCTGTGCTTGTTTTGCTTGACGTTTTACACGCAGATGGTTACAAGGCCGTCAGCAAACGTGTCGTACATGACGCTGAATGCCCCAAGGAGTATGACGAACGTAAACTGCTCAGCCTAACCCCCTACCTGCAATGCATCATCACTCTGATCGACCTTTACCGTGACGGATCTATTTCGTTTCCGAGCGGGCAGACGCAATCATGCTACAGGCTCCTCCTGCGGGCGAGAACGAACCAACCTCCCAACCAAGGGGCTCAGTATTACGCGAACCTGCTTGAGGGCAAGCCTGAGCGCAAGGGTTGCGATATCGCTGCAGCTCCAGCAGTGGTTCTCCCTGGGCCAGCTCCAGCCCCCAAAGACATCGTCGGCGACGACGGCGAGAGTGATGAGCCTGAACCCCCCAAGCCTCCAGGAGGGCATGCTCCAGGAGGCGGTGGCGATGATGATGTCATAGTGGGTGGCGGTGGAGGCGGCTCTGACGACGACGTCATGGGCGGGGGCAGCGACAAGGGCGAGCCTCCGCCTCCGCCCCCAGCCCCTCCCGTGGCTGACCTCGCCAAGCTTGTGATCCCAGGGGTGGTGGAGTTTATTCGAGGACAGGCGGTGGCGTTCACTCCCCGAAAACATAGTGGAGGGTATGTTCACTGGAAGCGTTTAGGAGTTGTTTGCAATAGTCCTGACCATATTAATTGCAAGAGGTCCAGGAGCCTCGAGCTCAATAGGGATGTCTTGGGGGTTAGGTGTGCTGAAGCGTATCTTGGGGCGTGGTTGCAGCATAGCCACATGCCCAATGACCATCATAAGCGCTGGCGGCCTCGTTTGCAGGAACAGCGTGATTTTTTGATGGATAACTGACCCACCGTCGCAAGAACGATGGCGAGGTCGGCGAGGGGGTCGCATGTTGTTGCGCAGACAATACAGTAACAGCGGTAGACGCATTACCTTCACGACCACGCAAGCAGCGCAATCACACATATCGTGAGAACTTACGTGCACACTAACATGTTGAACCTCCTCCATTGCGCGACTTGGTGCGCATTGCAATGACATGATGCTGTGCGTCGTTTGCGTGCTGCTTTGCAGAGCCAAGCGCGTGTCTTACCGGCTTGGCGGCCGAGCGGGCCCGCGCCACCATGTCGATGCATGTGCGGGCCAGCCCCATTGAGTTCCTGTCAGATGTTTCACCCTGTCGGCACGTGCTGTTACGTTGTCTTTTGCTCGCGGGCCTCGTCGCTGCACCTGGCCCACGCGGACTGGCGAGCCAAAGGGGCCCACGGTTGACGGCAACTGGTGTCGGGGCGGGGGCATTTGCGGTCGCCCCGTATCGGTGCAGTGGAGATGCACCGGGGGAGTTGTAGAGGGCTGCGTCTATGTACGTTGTTTGCATACAGCAGGGTGGTGTACGCATACGTAGTATATACAGCGTGAGAGAGAGAGAGAGAGAGAGAGAAAAGCAACGGCGCATCGATACTAACGCACATATTCAAGTAGTGAAATAGAAAGGGGCGATGCACCTATGGACAATGATCAATGTTTGGATGGTAACATCGAGGGGGGAGGGTCAGATAAGCATCGTATAGGATAGGAGTCGTATTGGAGCTGGTCAAAGAGAGGCACTACACTACTACACTACATTAATGATGGGCGGCGGAGGTGGTGACTCAACACTCATGGTTAAGATGTCCACGAATCGCTTCGATAAAGGAAACCATGTCGTGGACGTGCAGCACACGTAATTCGTTTCGATGTCGGTTCAAACTTGTTTGACATTGATTTCGGGTTCGCGTTGAGCTCGTTTTCCGTCGGTTCGATTTCGGATTGGGTGGGATCTGCGAAAGGAACCCGTGCTACCCAGCCTGCACATTGCAACAGAGAAGCCCAAACGGGGGGAAGATGTAGAGATGCTGCGCGCACCCCTATCTCACCTTATCAAAATCGACCCAGTGCGCGATGAGGAGGTTGGGGGTCGGGGCAACCGAGCGCAAAATCCATCCCCCTGCGTGGATCACTGCGCATATGAAGCCCCGCATCCACCCTCAGATCAAGAAAAACTCGGCCGTCGACCCGACTGATTCAGATGTCTTCATTTGTGGGGGTGGCCGTGGGGTGTGCATCTCTAGCTGAGGTAATTAAGGGTGCTTTAGATTGCTGCATCGTGCATTTATGGTTGAACACAAACCAACAGAGCATTGTCGCTGTATGGGATGAATTTATAGATTTGGGGCTTATCTTTATATTTAGGGGATGAACCACTCCAAACCAGGATGAACCACTTCAAACCAGGATGAACCACTCCCGAACCAGGATGAACCATTATGAACCATTCCCACACCAGGATGAACCACTCTGAACCAGGATGAACCAGTTTGAACCATGATGAACCACTCCCAAAACCAGGATGAACCATTCCAAACCTTGATGAACCACTCCCAAGCCAGGATGAACCACTCCAAACCAGGATGAACCACTTCAGGCCAATATGAATCACTACGGTGTTACTATGGTAGCATGATAAGGAATGCTGTGCGTGTGGCTGCATAGGATGAACGCCTGGAACCTGGTATGTAACGACTATGTTGTGGCGGACCCTGTTTTTTGCCTGTGAAGAACGGGTAGAGCCGTAGGTCGAATACGTGACTTTGCTTATTTGGTTGCCCGTGTCCAAGCGCTGGGATATTCTCGGGTGTGCTATTTGAACCGTCAAATCACACCCGCGACGGCTCGGCCGTCGCAGGTGTTATTTGACGGTTCGAATTACGCTCCAGGGTCCATGTTCCCCTCGTTCTGTTACTGCTTACTCTGGGCCCTCTCTCTCGCGGCTGCTCAGTCGGGGTCCGGTCTTCCCATGTCGCCAATCTCCCTCCAATCCTCAGCCTCCTCCACTCCATGGCACTGGTGGCTCGAGTGCTTCTTCGAGTTGAGAGCTCAACTTCTTCGGGGCCCTGGGTTGACTTGTCCTGGGTGGTTTTGGCGAGCGCCCCCGCTATGGTCAAGTCCGACGTGCTCGGGGATCATAGCTCTGAGTCTGAGGCCGTGGACGACCAGAAGGGCTGCAAGAGGGCGGCGCACGCCAAGAGAGGAGGGCCCAAGGCTGGACGCCCTGCCCCTGCTGCTGGCAAGGGCGCCCCCCAGTGCTACTTGTGTCAGGAGAGCGGCCCGACCAAGAAGTTCCTCGGCGTGGAGCTGCACGATCTCTGCTTGAATGCGCGTCGGTCGTCGAGGCGCCGATGCGAGGACAAGAGAGAGTTCGACAACCTCATGACCGACGACCCGACGAAGTGGAGGGCCATCGTCCTCCCTACTGTGTGCGAGCGCGGCGCACGCGACTCTGCAGTTCGCCGTCAGAGTAAGAACATGCTCGATTGTACCATCAAGTTCCGCCAGGAGGAGAGGACCATCCCGAAGCTCGAGCTCTGCAAGGTGAGGTATATCAACTACATGTCCTTCCGGGAGGGAGTCGAGAAGGAGGAGGCCGATCGCGACTTCGACATCGAGCTCGCAATCCAGAAGAGAGATGGCACTGAGATCTTTGACAAGATGGGGCGGCCGTGCATCAGCATTGACGACGACGCATCGTCGGCGGTCCGGACGGGTGTGAGATCTGACTGTGATTCGACGTCAGCCGCCACGGATGGCTACGCTCGCGGCGAGGCTCTTCGAGGTGCTTCCTGCGACAGGCGCAGCCGCAGCCGTGGCAGCCTCAGCCGCAGCCCTTGCGCGAGCGACTCCCATGAGGACGATTCCGACTGCGAGGTGATGAGCGAGTCTATCGAGCCCGCGAGGTCACCGACCGCCACCCCTCTGCCGCGCAGGAGCCCGAGATCGGCCACCGAGCGCCTGGGGGTGCTGACCTCAGACAACCTGAAGGCACATGAGGAGGCGCGGGATGCAAAACACATGCAAAATCCTTATACCCCTCCCCCGACCCCAGTCATCCTTGTCGTCGGCATGGCCGCTCGAACACCACATGCGTGATGCATGTGGCCAATCCTCCTCTCCCTCGTCCCCTCCCTCCGCCGTCTCTCCGCAGTGTGGCCCCCCATGTTTTATCGGGCGGAGTGGGGGCCAGGGTGCATTGTTTCATTGTGTCTCCCCTCGGCCCCCAGTTTGATGCGAAATTGCTTTCAGTTCGCCTGTGCCTCTCGAGCTCGAACGCGCCCCTCAGGCCGACCCCACCAAGAGGCGCAGGACTGGCAAGCAGAGCGTCGCCCCTAGCGTCTGCTCGGCCGCCCCGAGCACCCTCAGCCTCGAGAAGGCCCCCCCCCCCCAAGTCTAGGGCGTTCGAGTTCATGGTGAATCGAGATAAGCTGGCGGCACGGGTGAAGGAGGCGATCAAGGCGATCAATGGGCCGAAGTCCCCGTGCAGGCAGATGATGGCTAAGGCAACGAAGCTCACACCAGAACAGAAGGCTGAGTTGGAGAGCGATTCCAACGACATCACGAAAACTCACGCCTCAGTCATGGACGCCCTCAAGCGCCTCGACGAACACATCAGCAAGTTGAAGCGGTCCGACTACGAGCGCGCGAGGAACGACGTAGTGCAGGTTGAGGCCGAGCTCGAGGATTTAGGAGAGAAGGTCGATTCCCAGATGGAGTGCATGCAGCTCGTCACCAACAAGGCGTCCAGAGAGACTCGCAAGGAGAACATGACGAAGCGCTATGCCCGCACCAGGGTCTCAGGGCACCTGGTTGCTGGCAAATACCCGAACACGTTCGCCAAGATCGTGTCGCAGGCCCTGGAGAAGCTCGACGACGCAGATGACGAGGCCAGCCTGTCCGAGGATATCCAGAAGAACCCAGATCACACCATCCCTGGTCGCATCTGCCTGTGGACGAGCGTGGGCAACTCCACGCGCAAGATGATCGCGGAGATCTCGAGCGACGTTGAGAAGACCGAGAAGTCGTTGATGGATGCCATCTCTTCGCTGGACAACAAGTCGCGGGCTGGGTGCATGGGGAGGGTCCAGCTCGGCCACGATAAGATCACCGAGTTCGTTGAGCATGCGGTAGAGGACCGTTCGGAGAAGCACCTGGAGATCATGTCCGAGAAGGGTGGCGTTCCCTGGCAGACTTTCGTTTGACCCTACACATGGCGTGCTGGGCCAAATCAGTGCCCTTTGCCTGGTATGGCCGCAGTGTTCGTTGCGAAGACCGACTCGATGGTGGTCCTGATCGCGGACGCCAGTGATGTGGTCAAGAACGGGGTGGCCCTCACCGACCTCAAGAAGTTCATGGACACGGCGGAGGGTGGGAAGACGTACCAGAAGAAGTCGCATGTCTTCAAGCTGCGGATTGGGGACGTCCTATTCGTCCCCTTTGGGTTCATCATGATGCCGATCTACTGCCCCCCGATCGCCGCGATGGAGAAGGCCTGCAAATCCGAGGCTATGACGATGGTTGGAAAACTCTGGAGCATGGCGCTGCTCAACGACACGTGGGTGAACACCACCGTCCACAAAGATACCTGGGCTGCCATCCTGAATATCAACATGGACCACCTCCAGAAGTCGAGCACCGCCAACTCGCTCTGGGGCGAGCGCTTTGACTTCCTGAAGAAGTTTGTTGATGCCATCAACGTTTGATTGTACTCTCGATGAAGTTTGCCTGGTGCCCATTTTTACGCTGCCCTCTGCCATCTGCCCCAATATGGTCCTCGTGTACCGTTTACCTTCAATCAGGTTCCCTCCTCCTCCCTCCTCACTCCACCTCCTTCGACACCTTCCCACTCTCGCCTCCTCCTTCTCAGTGCGATGCCTGGTAGCAGGCGTGGGCAAGGCCGTGGCCGTCGACCGCGGTGCGTGGGCAGACGACGCGTGCAGAGATGGGGGAAACGAAACACTATGCCCACGAAAGGGTAAGTGCTGCCAGCCTGGAGCTAGGTCCTGGGGGTGGGCTCGGGGGGAACAAGAAGCCAGACTGAGCGGCGACTGCGTGCGCTTTCGGCCCAGAAGATGAACGAACGATCAGAAGGGAAGTTTCAGACAGGATCCGTTGGAGAATCGGACGATGATGGAGATCGTGAGGATGACTAGGATGAGGAGGAGCAAGAAGAGCAGGAGGTAAAGGCAGATGCGACGAGGGAGGGGCTAGATGGGTGGCGCGAATGATGGATGTAGGATCGGAGGGACGACGAGAGATACTGCGAAAAAGACCAACTCAGGGGAAGGACGCGCCAAGGAGGAGGAGGAGGAGGAGTACTAGTATATGAAGGGCACGTTCCATCGTTGCTAACTGGCAGGTTATTGGACCGACGGGGAGTGGGCCTGGATAGGGGCTCTCTGTCTCTCTGTGCCAGGTCCGAGCGGAGCTCGGATCTTGATATGGCAATGCTTTGATTTGCGTGCTGCACTGTGCGCCATCGCCGCTCCGCCCCGCCTGGCCATGACCAAACTGTGTCAGACCTGCGCTTGCCCGTGGCCGGGCCTCCCGCCTTCGCATTCGGCGACGCAGGACATGAGATAGATCCCCATAAAGAGAGAGATATATAGGGACGTACATAACGTTAACGAGATAGGAGCATATATGGAAGCAAGAAACATGCATAAGTATACAAAACGTGTAGGCGTAGCTAGCGACATTTGCACTTCGCACATGCATTACGTCAGGGTAAACACCAACGAGGGCCCAACAACACAAGCACGGAGGATCGGTGAATATGCGCACGGAGAGAACTTCGTACCATAATCAAACGGGCATACACATAGAACATACAAGTAGGGTACGCGCACAAGCACGCACACAACTTACGCCCACCTACATACGTGGAACGATACGTGCACGCACGCAATACATAACAATTGTACCAACCGTTCCCACCATCGACACCATTGCATTGGGTCCGCGGAGTCTGCCGCAAACGCACACACTGCGTTGGGATGATGAACGCACCATCTGCCTCAGCCGTTTGTCTCGACAGGGGTGCACCGCTCTGCTTTTTCACCGAACGGCAACCGTTCCGATGGAGGGTGGCGGTGCGATCGAGATGGTCGACCTCTGGTCCGTGAAGGACCCGCCTGCGCCAGAACGGAAGGGTCGGAAGAAAAAACGTCGGTGTGAAGTTGATGTGGCACCCGTTGTACCACGCCCGAAGTATCAGCCAGTGGTGACTGGCAGTGCGCTCTTCGATCAAGTGAGTGTGTTCGATCCGAGCTCAGATGCGATCGTTGAACAGAACACCAGAGCATTGGCAGATGCGATTGCTCGGACCCCGAAGCAGAAAAGGCGCACGTTTCAGCCTGGCGAGTGGATTCCACAATTTAGCGAGCGCAAGAAGCTGCGCAACCCCGCCGCCCCGCTCACGTCGGGCTCTGACTCGAGCAGAGGGGCGGCATCGTCGCAGAGCCAGTTTAGTGCAGCGCAGTCTCATGTGCTTCGTTCTAGGCAGCTTCAGATTCCCAGCCAGGGAATTCGACCTACGGGGCGCTTGCCTGCTGCAAGCGGTGACGTTGCTTCAGGTGCTGGATCGTCGATCATCACGCCACTGCCATCATCGCATCATTGTCGGGGCAAGTGCCAAGCACATGACACCAACCATAACATTGTCAACCAGCTAAGTGTTCCAGACAGCCAAGCTAAACTTAAAGTCTGGGGGGCGTCGCTTAATATTCGCCTTCGGCCCGCACCCCCCCCCATTTCGTGTCTGCGCCCTTTGGTGAGCCCGACGTTACAAACTGTAACCCCTAAATCGATCCCATCTCTACCAGGACCTCTCGTGATCTGCCTACCCACCACTAAGTCTAACTGTAGCCTAACAGCAAGATGTAGAAGGTCAGACAATAGAGGAGGCAGGAATGGAAACAAACCCACTATAAACGTTAAGGCAAAACATACCATAATAGTCTGACACAAAACATCCAATGATCTCAAAGACCAGGAAACATAAAAGGTGTGGTGAAATTCGCCACGTTACCATCCCTAAAATATCCGATCGACATCATGGAGCTGCGAGGGGCGAGGGTGAACGAGGATGTAGTGTGGATGAGGTGCAATGGGGGAATGCGATAGCAACTTGGGGGGAGAGACGAAGAGACACGGGGGGGGGGTTCAGGGAGGAGGGAGTAGGCGACGCACGGAATATTGTGCGAATCAGGAGGGGCGGTGGAGGGAGGGACGAGGAGGTGTGAGGGACGACGGTGGGCAAAACGACGTAGGAGCGACGGACGACGATAAGGAGAGGATGCGGATGGGGAGGATTGCAAGGATGAGGGTGGCGAGGATGTTTGTTGAGCTTGTTAACTGGCAGTCGTCCCACGCGCCTGCCAAGCCCGTTGCCCAGAACAGGCCCCAAGGACGGATATGGGCGTGGGGTCACGCTTGTCCGTTCGGTCTGTCACAGTTGCATCCAACCCCTAAGGGCGCGAGCTTGCTTAGCAACGTGGGAAAATATATAGCTATATACGACGCGCGTGTGGAGGCACGTGTGAGCGCGTGCCAGGGACTAGGCGATGATATCACTGCGCGCCTTCTGGTTTGTGTTGGTGGACCGACGCTGCTGACCAATCGACATTGGTACATTGCAGCATGCACGCCTTGACCTTGCACACAAACTGACCTGTCATCGTTACTCAGCTATGACAAAATCCGAGGATATGTGATGACATTCTTCTTGGTACCGCAGACATTGTATGAACCATTCCACACCACCACGGGCCAGGATGAACCATTCCCAATACCCCAAATAGGCGATAATCCTGGAGTTGCCCCGACCCCCTGCCTAACCAAGGAGGAGGATGAACAGGAGGAGAAGAAGAAAATGAAGGAGGAGGAGGAGGAGGAGGAGGAGGAGGAGGAGGAGGAGGAGGGGGAGTAGGAGGGGGATAAGGAGGAGGATGGGGAGGGGGATGATCAGGGACAACGTTAGGGGGTGACAAGCTCAGGGGGGAACGCATGGACCCCCAATTGGCCACCCATTGACGAGAGGGGGCTCGATGTTAAAAGGATTTCAGGCGTTTTCGTAAGTTCTCTGGGATTTTCCGGCCTCGGGGTGCGTTCCAGCGCCTGTACCTGTCCGAGAGTTTCCTGGGGGTGTCCTGATCACGTCCCGAACCGCCGCCGGAGAGCAGAGTTACGACCCGAAGATCAGTCGACGAAGATCACTCAGGAGCCATGTTAGGGGCGGGATAGGCGCCGTGGGGATCGCATCGATCCCCGAGCGGCCAGTCATCGCCGGGAGTGGCCCGACAGCCCGCCCCGCCCAGGAGCGTGCGGTGTTGCTGTGGGGAGCCCATCACCGTTCTGTCGGCGAGGCATCGCCGATGCCAGGTCGATGTCCCCCCCCCCCCGAGCTGGCCCCCTCCAGATGCTCCCCCATCGCTCCTTGCACAGGAGTCGACTGCACTTACGAGTGACCCTTCGCCGGAGTGACCTGTGGTGCGGGGTCATCGGGGTCCGCTCGATCGCTGAGCGCGACACGATAGCGGCTGCCTGCGCGCTTGGATTTGGCCACCTTGCCCCCCCGAAGTCTTGCCTAGAGTCACTCTTGCATGTTGTCGAAGGAGGTGCCGACCATCTGCCCTGTGGCGGGTCTCGCGCTGCCTCCAGCGCGGCGGCGGCGCCATACCATTTGTCAGAGGAAGCGGAGAGGTAGCAATGCCGCTATCCGCCCCTCGCCGCCACGGCCGGATCGGCCTCCGAGTCCTGGTCAGAACACGCCTCGGGGAGATTCGGGGAGCAGTGGTTTCGGGTATTTGCATCTTTGGGGCCCCCCAGCGCTGGCGTTCAAGGCCCTACCTCGGGGATCCCACTCCGGGCCCTGCGCGCACAGAGACAGCCATCGGCGCTGGGCCAATGCGAAAGCCGGAGTCGACAGCCCTCGAGGACCCCTGAGAGCGGTGATGCTTCAAGAGGAACCCATCGCCCGCCCCCCCCTGAGGGGGGGGGCGCCAGTATACGCCAGCACATATTGAGGGCCATGCCCGTGCTGCTGTCCTTTGCCGAGGGATCGGTGCGTGTGCCCTTTCTGGCCAAGCCCCGGGGGCATACGTATCCCGAGCCTGGGCTCAGGATGGGCCCGGCCAGGCTGGGTGCTGGCGTGTAGTCGGCGTTCTCCAGCCCTCTTCCATCTCATGTCACGAAACAACGAAGCATACACATAAACTTTTGGAGCTCCGCCCGGACTTCTCGGATCGGCGCTGGGCTCCCCTCCCTGGCGCGCGGAGTGCGCCAGGGGCGGCGCCAGAGGCGCCGCCAGGAGGGCCCAGCGCCGATCCAAGAAATCCGCGGGGAGCTTCGCATCTTTGTATGTTCATGCCGTTATTTGTTCTTCGAGCTTCCCTGAACTCTGCCTCCCCCGCCCTCCCCGCTGGTTCCCGGATGAACAACTTCGTCAACGAGCTGATGGTGGCCGTGGTCGGCAACCTCTCGTTTGCGGTCTGTGGCGGCCTCGGGGGCACCTCCTCCGCCCCTCCGCTCTCGCCTCCCGCCCCCCTGCTTGCCCACCTCGTGTACCTGCCCTCCCGGACATCCTGGCGTCTCGACAACGGCCTCGGGCTTGTACAAAGACGGCTCGGGATGAAGAGCCGGGCCCGGGGAAGTCCAGAGGTTGGGGGGGCCGTGTCTCGAACAGAATCGAGGCGCCATGTGTCTGGGCTTTCTTCTGCTACTCCTGCCGCGCCTCGTCCTCGAACTGCTCCCCCTCCCGTCGCCACCTTGGCTCGAGTCATATATCTTGCCCTTGGATCTACTATTGTGTTGCACCTGAGGAGCGTGCTCAGGCCATGTTGGTGAGGTCTGGCCTCAGTACCCGCGCGGGGCGAATCCCCCTTCCTGCCAAGCAGCCATGGGGGAAAGCATTGTCGCTGTCGAGAAATCGGCGCTGGAGCGCATGGTTGAGGCAATGGAGGCGAACGGTCGGCTCGACTGCTCGGTAGTGGGGGAGGTTTGCAATATTTCCGAATTCCAGGCGATGGCAGAACGGTGAAACAGCACACTGACGATGTGGCAAGGAGCTTCGAATAGCATACGGCCGCGATCGACCTGGACATGTCTGCGATGAAGAGGGATATCCTGGAGAGGAGTACAGCAGTAGCGTCGGGCGGTGATTCGGTTTGTCCCGCCAAGTACGTTCGCACGAGTATTGCGGTGAGTGGCAGAAGTGGTTTCGAGCCAGATGATGAAGCTGATGAGTGCAGGAGGTGGGCCACTGGTTTTCCAAGGCCGATTTTACCCGCAGTTCACTCATACCACTTCAAGAATGTGCTGAAGGCCCGTGTTCAAACGCCAGTTCGTGAGGCTACCACAGCTCGGCTTGCACGTACCAGTCAAAGTTACAGCGTACACTTTGCGACGGCAGCGATGGCGGAGAAGCTTCACCGCTCCATGGTCGAGCATCCAATGAGGTGGCATGATCCGAAAGATCAGAGTTGCCACGTCATCAGCGTGCGCAGCGATCTTCCTGGTGATTCGCGTGGTCGGCAACGCCAACTTGGCCGCGCTAGGCTTCTAATGAAGGAGCTGGTTGTGAAGAAAGGGTTGTGGGGGCAGGGTGTGCGGATGTGGGCCAATTGGTTCAGGTACGAGTTCTATTTCAGTAAGGACGATGATATACGGATTTTGATTCGTGGCTCCGTCGGCCCTCATCCTGGATGACAGTCACGGCGACGGACGATGTAATGAAGTTGGGTTCTGAGCAGGCGGCGGCCGACAAGTTCGGCAACCAGCACAGGTTCACAATCGTCGACTGGCGTGCCTGTGTCGCAGCAGGAGTGATCATTTCGACACACTTACTAAGATGGGCCAGTTGGCGTACTTAATGTTTCCTCCTCCTATCCTCCTTCGTCCACTGGTCCAGTTCGAACAGCTCTTCCCAGTTTGATGGCGGCGACAGTGACTTCGATGACGGTGGCGAGGTCGTCAACACCCCTTTCGGTCCCAAGTCTAAGTTCCGAAACGCGATCTGGAGTTGCCACTGCTTTTCTGATCTCATTCAGGGGTTACATTTCCCAAGCGCGTATTCGCGCAACCGTGCTGCGGCTTGCTGATCAATTGCAGGGTCTTCGTTCTCAAGGGTGCCACGGATTGTCAAGGTTTTTCTTTCTTGTTCGTGTTGCTCGCGGGCTTGGAGAATCGTTGAGGGTGGGGAATAGTTTTCCCGATGGAGCTGCAGGTATCTTCGTGACTAGTTTGCAGCGCTATGTGTTGGATGCGTTCTCGTGCAATTCCTAGCGTGTCGTTGATGGACATATATGTCATGTTCTTCATCCGAGAGGACTGAATTGGTGCATGAGTGCGCGTGGCGTTTGCATGCGTCCTGGGCTAAGCGACGCTGTGAGATATGGGTTGCTTCGTCGGATCCGGTAGCGCGTGCTCCCTACAAACATGGTGGCGTCTCGGTCTTTCTGGGACTCTGACCGCACCGGCCCTGGGGATTTGGGATTGTTCTTGTTAGGACTGATGCGATTGGGGCATACCTGCACTGCTTCCCCCGTTTCATGCGAGCTCGCTCAGCTGCGCAGGACCATCAGGGCCAAGCAGGGTGAGGCAATGGTATGTGCTGGCCGAGTTGATTGACTAAATGTTTCAATCGATTCTGGCTTGGTCTTTGGCGCCAAGCCGTTCTCGGGGGCGACCTGGCCTGTCGCGGACATGGCGAGGCCGAGTGACCACTCGCCATTGTGCGTTCAATTTTGATCCTGGGGCGAGGTGTTCTGCAGTTAGGTTTTCGAGTTGGGCCTCGGATGCACTTGTTTACTAGGCGCGTTTGCTGAGATTTGGGAGTAGTTGCTTGATGTTCATTCTAGGCCTGAAAGGTCGGGAGCTTTCAAACAAGTCATTCTTGAGGCCGCCCGACTCGCGGAGGCCTGCCTGGCAGTGGCAGGCCTCGAATTCAACGAGGGGGCATTGGCGTGCTTTTTGCCGTCTTGCGAGCCATAGGTCAGGGCGACCAGTATGTAATCAGGAAGGTTGCGAGGGCTTTCGGGGAGGTCGGGAGGTATATCGACGTGGATTGGTGTTCCTGTTCTGAATTCTTGGCGCTTTATGGAGAGCATGGGTGAGCTGTCAACGGCTTCTCTAGGGTCCGAAATGCAAGATGCTCTGTCCGCCCCGCATCTTCTGGGGGAGCTTGAAGCCAGGAAGGTCTGGGGGGCCGCTGATCGCCGCGCTGTGCTTGCTGGAGTAGAAGCTCTTGACGGCTCTGCTCCTGATTCACTGCAGGGATGCGCGGGAATATTACCTAACTACTGGGGGCGCGCTCGTGCGGACAAGCCGAAGGATCCTGAGTGTCGTTTTCCTTTTCGGAGGTTCGCGCACCGGGTCTCGAAGAGGCCCCCCTGGGACGCTGCGTTTCTTCAGTTTGTTCAAGGGTTTCGGTGGTTTAGAGGTTATGCTCCTGGATCTGGCGGTATTCATTTCTTTGAGGTGTTATTCGGACTGTGGGGGTATTGGGGCTGACGTTTCATTCTGAGTCTACAGCGAGCTCCTCGGGGGGGCGGAGGGTGATGCCATGTTTGACGAGCGCTTAGCCGCATTTAGTCCCAAGGCGGCGTGTTTGTGCATCGACGAGCCCAACGAGGGCCCTGCCGAGGTTCGGCAGATGTGTCTAGTATTTCGAAGAGGAGGAGGATGACAAGGAGTAGGAGAAGCAGGAGAAGGAGGAGGAAACAGAAGAGGATAGCCATCACTTGAGACACCTTTCGTCTTCATTTCTCGAGGGGCTCTCATGGATCTCGTTTGAGCCGTCATGGGGTTGGCCTGGGCTCCTGCGGGGCAGTCTTGGGGGTCCCTTGGCGATCTCTCGGGCCCTTTTGGGGCTTTCTTGGGCCGTTTGGGTTCGCATGTCAGTGTGGAGGGTGACTCGGGGCCGGCGTGGGGCCATGTCGGCGCCATCCTGGGCCGCCCAGGGGCTCTCTGAGGCTGGACTGGCTCCGTCCAGAGACCCACTATAGCCAGCTTGGGGCTGTCTTGGAGGGTTCTTGGGCCATCATGGGGTCCTCTTTGGCCATCTTTGCACTCTCACGGGGTCCTCTTGAGACTCTCTTGGATGCTTCTTGGACCATCTTGAGCTGACGGAAGCCCGAGAAGGCGAGAATACGAACACCTAGTGAACAAATCAATGGACAAGCAATAATTTGGCTTTCTTCGGGTCCAGTGGGGGATCCTTTTGTGGCCGTTTTGGGCTCTCTTGGAGGCATCCTGGGCCTTCTTGAGGCCATCGTGGGCAGCCAACTCGGCCGTCTTGAGTCTTTGGCCGTCGTCGATGCATCTTGGGTCGTCTTGGCGGCGACCTTTTGGTTACCTGTCTGGGCCGTGTCAGAAGCTCGGGACGCGGCTCAATATTTCTTTGCAAGGGATCGTGGTCCAGGGAGCCCTTGGAGAGGGGGGCGATGCATGCAGGGAATGCTAGCAGTGGCGTTATTTCACGCCTCAGCGTGCTCCAGGCACGGAGTCGGATCGGGGACGCATCGCCGATTTCAGATAATTTCCCCCCCCCCCCCCCGGGGCTGTCTGTATCGTCCCCCCTCAGAGAGCCCTGAGATCTGACGTGGCGAAAAGGACAGCACCATGCGAAATCACGACTGGAGACATGGGCGCTAATCTGCGCCATCTGTCCCTCTGTGCCTCCTCCTCCTCCTCCTCCTCTGTTCCGTAGCCATTTTGGCTCTAGCCACTTTGGGTCAAGGCCATCTACAATCCGTCCCTCCGCTCTTCCCGTATCCTTCCCAAGCACCCAGGTGACCACCGCCTTTCTGTGACCATGGCCACTACTGCGGAGCTCATGCGGATATGTGCCCATTGTACCCGTCCATCGCCCTAGAGAGCGCGGCGAACTTCGGGCTGTTTCTTTTCTTCTCGTATCTGTCCATCCTCATCTCCACGAAGCAGCAGGTGAAGACGCCTGCGAGAGCGATTTGTAGGATGCTATGGAGCAGCCTGACAGAGTGGGCGGAGGACACCTGGAGGGTCTTGCGCAGGTGGCCTCACATGCACGAGATGGAGCTCGGCCAACGCTTCCGCTACTGCCGGAGGCTCAACGCGACCATCTGTCGATTCTTGGCCGGCATTGCGCTCATCACGATCACCCGCTGGTTCCACATCAACAACGTGAACGGCTTCCGCTACCTCGGGTATGCCATGACTTGCCCCCTGATGCAGGCCGAGCTCGTTCTGCTCATCGCGCCGCACGTCCCGTGCTACAGGATTTTGGCGGTCTTCTCGTGCCTCATCACTTTCGGCATGCTCCTCACCGGCTACATTGCGTCTCAGTTCGAGGGGGAGATGTGGAAGACCGATTTCGAGACCTTCTACGAGGAAGCCCTGGAAGGTAATCTGGACAGTCTGACCACAAAGGGATGGTGGCTGATGCCGAGCACGGTGATATTGTGCTTCCTCTCTTTCGTACAGATCCCGCTGCTCGGTCTTGTGTACTATTGCAGCGGCGGCTCGAAGAATGAAGACCTGCCGAGAGGCTACCCTAAGCTCCTGATGATCACGTCTCTCTCTTGGTTGGGCTTCCCCGTCTGGTGGTACTTGTCGTACGAGGGGGCGAGCATTATCACGGAGTCTAGGTGGAATGCCGTAGGTTTTGTGGCCCTGAACATGGTCAGCAAGGGCGGCTACACCTTGCAGATGCTCAGCATGGTTAAAGCGTGGAAGCGCCAGCAGGCCCAGAAGCCAAAGCCTCCAGCCCCCCCGAAGCTCGAGCCGGAACCGACACCCGCGGGCGGGATGCCAGGCCGAAGGCTCAGCAACGCGACGCTGCCCGACCTGGACGGCCCTGCGGTGCGGGACGCCCCTGTCCGTGTGGCGCGGGCCGCCAAGAGGAACCAGACGGGCCAGTCGCTGCAGTGGTTTGTCGACGCCATGAAGAAGTGGGAGCCTGAGGAGCCGAACCCCTCGACCTCGACCGCGCTGGGCCCAAAGGGCCCGGTCGAGACGGTGGTGATCACGGACCCGGGCCAGCTGAACGACGAGCAGCTCATGCAGGAGCTGGGGAAGCGCCTGGCCGCGCACGGATCGGGCGGCAAGGGGACGACGAGTGCATCGCTGAACGCCTCCATCCGCAAGGCGTGCACCAAGATCCTCGAGGTCGACGAGAGCGATGACGACATGTGAGCGGGGCGGCAGGAGAGGCCGGTGGTGACCACTGGAGAGCTGGAGTCAAATAACAAAAAACCTGCAGAGAATCTACTATCGTCGAAATGTCTTCAAAGTTGTGATTTTTAAGCCTTCTGCCTCGCGTGCTAAGCCTTGCCGCCGGCGTGGTAGCATCGGTGCAGCCGTGCCGTCGGCCGAGCCGTCACCGTGCTCGCTGCCCCAGACCTCCAACGGATGGACCAAGATCGAGGGCCTTGCGCTGGTCAAATCTGGGGATGGGAGGTCTGGGGCAGCATTCACCGCCCATGATTCCGAATCTGTCTCGCGCGTCGCCCTGTGAGAATTTCCAGGACGCGTTTCTGGCGCGCTCGAGAGGCTCGGGGGGGGGGCATCTGGCCGGTCGCCGAAATTGGCGGCGGCGGCGGTCTCCTCGCCCTCACGCCACGGGGCCTTCACGATGCCCCATCCGTGTTCTTGACCGTGAGAGCAGACTTCCCTCGCTGCTCCCGTGGTCCGTTTTTTGCCCGCCCTGTGCTGGCTTGTGGCATGCGGTCGCTCGAATACCACTTCACGTCCCCGGCAGCGGCCCCCTGTGGAGCCCTCTCGCGGACCCGATCCGATCGGATCCCTCTCCTTTTCTTCTGTCCTCTCGCTCTTTTCCGTCCACTCCCCCTCCTCGTCTTCTCTCCCTCCCGCTCCTGCTCTCTTTCATTGTGCTCGGTCCCCTAATTATTGGACCAGCTGTGCAGGCCACTAGTTTCTTCCAGCATGGTGGCGTCCTCCTCCTCCTCCTCTGCCGGCTGGAAATCCCTCTGCGCCATCTGTCGAGCAGGATGGATTCGCGAGGGGCCCGGGGCCCGACTCCAGGCGCAAGCACTCGGTGTGAAGAAGAAGATAGGTCAGCTTCTCGCAGGCGGGGCTGGGAAAGGATCGAGTCCATCCAGAGCGTTCCGGAACGCTCTCGCAGAGCGCCGGAACGCTTCGAGAAGGCCGAGGCGCCCGATACGTCTTCCAGAACCGCCGGATCTCAGAGATTCCCGATTTAGCTCTGTACGATCTTGCCCTCCCAGACATCCGGCGTTTTGACGTTTTCGAGACGGGACCCCGACCTTTCGTCCACCTACCCAGGACAGGCTTTTCGTCCCGAACCTCTTTTTGACGGTCCCGAGGCCCCGTCCCGAGGCCTGGTAGGCTTATTCGTAAAAAGTCGTCGTCTCGGTTGTGTTCCGTTTGATCCTTGCCCGATTTTATTCCTATCCGATTTTGACCCTGGCTTGGCTGCGTCTTGTCCTCAGGGAGGCGCCGTAGTGATCGTGCCAAGGGTCACTGCGCCGAGGCGGCGACACGCTGGGGGACGGCTTCGCCCGCAACGTGTGGCGGGCCCACTTCAGCAGCGGCGAGGACCGGAGGCGGTGAGATCCGGCGGACAAAGGTCTAGGTTGGCGACTACAGAGGGAATGGTTTTGCCGGGTTGTGGTTTGCGATCGGCACCGTTGGGGCCTGTGGAGCACGACGCTGCCCTCGTCGGGCCTCCTTGGGGCGCGGCGGAGAACTCTATCGTGGTCCCCGCCCGCCCCCCAGGTTGACCCCCAGCGTGCTGGCTGCAAGTCACACCCTTTGCAGGCCACACCCTTCGGAGTCGCCGACTAGGCCTCCCAAATGGGGTTCGAGTAGGTGTGCTCCCTGATGCATTGGCGATGCGGCGCGATGCTCCGACCCCATCTGCGAGGACCCCGCTTAGGAGGCCTCTAAAAGGGGGCGTGGGCTTTCATAGTTTTCGCTCTGATTGTTTCATCGGGACGTTCAGAACTATTCGGGATGAAGCACCAGTCCTAGGGATGTGGTCGAGAGATCGGGGGCCTGTGTCTTGAATACACCGAAACGCCGGATGTCTGGGATCGCAAACATATGTAATTCAAGACTACAGAGGCGCTTCGCGCCATGCACCTTGGTATCTCAATTTTGGCCTGCAGAAGAAGGATATGAAACACATTATATATATATATATATATATATATATACGTGTGTTGATGACTCATGTCTGCCTTTTACGGCATCGTCGTCATAATAATATTCTTCGTCATGCTTTGCGTATCCCCACCAGCCCGTTCAGAAACGCTGCCCATGAGAGCTGACGGGGAACGGGACGACTAGACACGTATAGTGAAACAAAGCGGACAGCAGGTCTCTGGGAGCAAGGGGGTGGCTTTGGAGGGCCTCTTCGGGCCATCCCTGGGGCCCGCGGGGGGGCGAGGGGAGGCAGGAGGAGGAGGAGGAGGAGGAAGAGGAAGAGGAGGAATAAGAGGAGGATTGGACTGGATTCGATTGTTTGGACACTTCACAGCGACAAGACATGTACAGCTCGTGACCATTGGGATTACGAAGCACATCGCGGAGTCTGTCAAGGTAACCTGGGCAACGGG